ATAGTTTGCAGACATGGATCTTGTCGTGTCTTAAACGTCATCAAAGTTATAACAAGTGTCTATTTTCGTTTTTATGTGACAATGGCATGGTTGTCAGGTCTTGCTGATAAGGCAGAAAATTTATTAAATAAAATAGACAAAAATACTGCGGCAGTTTTAAATAAAGACAAATATGAGTTACCGCAATCTCAGTTGACACATGTGACATGGATTCCTTCCGAGTCATGGTAAAAAAAATAATTTACTTTGATGAAAAATTTAAAAATTCGGAAGGATACATACATAATTGAAATTTACTAGAATTTTATTTGATTATATGCATAAAAATATATATATCTTTCTTAAAAATAAAGAAAGGTTATATGCACATAATCAGTTTTTGTTATTTTTTTATGATTATTTTTGTTAAACTTTATATTTATTGATAATTATTAACTAAAGAACAACAATCCCTTCGATATATTTCAGTGTTAACACACAAGATGGTTCAGTTTTAAAATCTTCATACACAGAATCGTCAAAAGAATTCCCTTATGTTCGTTCAGCACCAAATCTTTCTTCATTGACAACAAATTCTGTTATGTCTAGAGATGAAGAGCTTCTTACTCTCTTAAATACATTAGATTCAAGTCCAAAAAAGAATATAACAGAAGTTTCAATGTCACCACCAACACCTTCATCACTCATGGTTGAACATCCAACAGATACTACAGATTCTGTATCAGACTTATCAATTCATAGTGGCCACTCTAGTCCCAGTTTCATGCATACATCTGTAGAAGTGCCAGATAATCTCAATCTTGATGACATTAATGTGAACAATGTTAATTTCTCTAAAAATGACACAATAAATGCACTAAACAATGAAATAATAGAAAATCAAAATTCTGATGTTGTTTTGAATAATGGTAAATTTTTACTTGTATGTTTATGCTTATACAATTGCATTAAATTAAAAATCTAAAAGGTTCAAAATTTATTTTAGATCATAATGTTATGATGGCAAAGTCTAATACTATACAACAAGAATATGAATATGATGTGAAACAAGAAAATATGGAAATAAATAAATTGATGAATTCATCTCATAATAAATATATAAGGAAGTATTTGAAAGAAGTAGAAAGAAACTTAGAAGAAAGGAATGAGCTACTTGGGAAACAAAAGACAGACCATCAAAAAGAAATCATAGTTTTAAATGAAAAATTACAGTCTTTATATACAGAAAAAGTACAATTATCTAAGCAAGTAATAGAATTACAAGCAGCTTTAGAAAGAAGTAGATCAGAATTAAATTCTACTAGATCTGATTTAGAACAACATAAAGCTAGAGCTTTAAAAACATTGCAAGAAAAAGAAAAATTAATAGCAGAATTAAGATGCAATGAATCTACAGGAATGGATGAAATAACAATCATGGAATTAAACCAACTAAGGTAACAATTCTAAAATACAAGATAAATTTTTAAGGAATTTTGTTTAATATAAATTTTATTAAATGAGGCAGACAAGAACGCGATATACTTAGAGAAGAAAATCAACAATGTTCTGAACAATTAAGAATAGTACGTGAAGAATTAATAAACGCAGATGTAAAACTGGAAAAAATGAGACAAAAGTCTGCTGAAGCAAATATACAAGCTCAAGAAATTCTTGCCACAGAAAGACGTAGAAGATTAGATGCAGAAGAAGATGCAAGATTACATTCAGATGTATATTGATATTCTAGTTATATTTTTTATTATTTGCTATATATAGGGAGATTGTTTAATATTAATTATTATTGTAGGAAATAAGATCATTAAAAGATGAATTAATTCGTCAACATAACAATTACACTATGCAATTACAAAAAAATGATTCTGAAATCGCTCGGCTCAGGATGCAATTATCCGCAGCTTCAACGCCAAGTAGCGAGGTAGAATCGAGATTGGCATCTCTCACACAAACATTGGTTTCAAAACAGCAGGCATTAGAAACTTTAACTACTGAAAGAAATGCTTTAAGATTACAATTAGAAAAAATAGAAGTAAGTTAATTAATAAAAAATTATTTTATGATATATCAAATATCAAATATAACTACGATATTTTTCTTTTAAACATAATAACATTGACAGTTTATAACTAAATATATTTCTTTCTTTCACAGCATGAATTTAGGAACAATCGACGTAATGTTTCTTATAATAGTATAAATGATACAGATGATGCTAAAGCTCAAGTACCCACATTTTTTATAGAAACTCCATTTGATACTGGAGTTACTAGAAGAGTAAAAAGAGCTTATTCCTCATTAGATGCTATTAGCATTCGAACAGGAGTATTTTTAAGAAGGTATCCTCTTGCAAGAATTTTAGTATTAATTTATATGGTAAGTGAAAATGTATTAATTTAAAATTATTATAATTTCAACAAAAGATAATCCAAATCAATATCAAAACTAAACATTAAATACTTCGTAATTATTTACAAATATGTTTATTGTAATTGCTAATAAAAGGTTTTATATCTTTTCTAATTTTTTACAGACATTACTTCAGTTTTTGGTTCTTATAGTTCTTCTATCGCAATCACCAGAAGCACATTAATGTTTGGTATTTACAATACATGTAATAGAACATCTTTGTAAATATTGGGATGGTGCACATGTAACAATATTAATTACTAATAACTTGGTAACTTTTTATATACCATTACATACTGTATTATATAATATATGAAAATTTTATTTCTGGGAGATAAACGAATTAATTTTTTTAGATGTATTTAAATGATTGTTTTATTGAGTTTTATTTATAATATGTGTATACCATGTTAGTTACGCAATATGTGATCAATGTAGCATATATTTCCTTATACGAAATTGTTAATATGGATTCTATATTTGCAATTAATAATCAATGAAATATTCTTATTTATTCAAATCATCATTTATTTTTTCATTATACAGAAAAATAGTTATAATACTATAAAGGTAATAAACATAATGTATTTAATTCAATATAAGCTAAATAAATAAATAAATAAATAATTTATTGCATTATAATTTTTATATATGAAATGCTTTAAAAAGAATAAGCATTTTTTATTCTTTAAGTTGAAGTGAATAATGTTACATATAAAAATGGAACTTTTTGTTTCCTCTTGCAAAGCTAAGGATATTATAATGAGCAATATTGTTTGAATGTTAAAAATAGTTTGTTAAAAATCTGAAAGTTAATAATTAATTTATGATTTCATTACGTCTTATATGATAATCATAATTGTCGTAATGATCTCACTGACAAAAAATTTGAACTATTTAATTATGTATAAGTAATTAAATGTTTATTTTCTATAATATCATTTAATATTATGGAATCGAACGTGAGCATATATAAGATTCAAAACTTTTTATGAAGGATGTTTAAAAGAATAATAGAAATGCTTTTAAAAGGTTGAGATCATTTCAATGTTCGCCTAATAATTTATTAATAATTTTAAATTTCAGGTTTTAAAATATGTTTTACATATCTGATATAATCGTTACAAAAAGCAGAAGTATCTAAATGTCCTAATCAATTACCATTATTCACTATCCTTATATTTCTCGCTATGATTGTTAATTTGATTTGGTTGATGCTTATTACTATACTACTATATTAAATCGAAAAAAATTTGATATGCCATATAAAAACAGAGGCATGTGAACAAACAAAATTACACCATTTGGGTCTATAATTTTCTATATGTACATATACTTGATACTTGAGAAATTGCTTTTTCCATTTGACTGGTTGATTGCATTTACAAAGATTAATTGATCTAATGCTACCTAAAAGTATACCTCTGTTAAAAATTCTCAAATCATTATTATTCTACATGGAGAACGTAATTTACAGTTTACACTATTTATCATATTATAATTTACTTTTATAAAGATATATAATTTTATCAAATGTTTTTGCAAAAACCCTACATGATTTAATTCGCACTGATCTAATGTGTAATAAGCAGAATAAATTACAACTAGTATATTGCTATAGCAATCGGGAAACAGCGTACATGATTCCTATACACTTTAGGCACGATTTTTATGATTTAATATATTTATTTAAATGGTGGTCGATATTCAGTTCAAGTGAAAATAACTATACTATTTAGATAACTTTTTTTTTCTTTTTACAAATGTTCAACTATTCAAATGCAAGAGAA